GGCAGTTTGTGAGCTGGCACCTGAGGACGGACGGACGGACGTCCTGCCTTCTGAGTCGCCATTGTCCCCAGAGGCCAGGGACACAAACAACAGGAATCCAAGACACTCAGTCCCCTCGGGAGCGCCCATTCAGGCTGTACAGTCTCCCTGCCTCAGTCTCCCCAGTGCTTGGGTGACAGGCATGTACCAGTCTGCCTGCCACCCTCCATCTCCTGCCCACTGCCTTGGGATAACAGAGTGGATCTAGAATCTGCCTTGTTTGATCACCCACAGTCCCACACCAGCCCGGTCCCCTGGAGCCCGTCTGCATCAATGCAGTCGCCTCCCACTACATCCTCCATCAATGAGAAGTCTGTTTTGTTGTTTAATCTCCTACATCCTCTTTGTGCACATGCATATTCGTGTGTGTGTGTGTGTATGCATGTGTGTATGTGTGTATGTGTGTATGCATGCGATGCATGTTCATGTGTGTGTATGCATGTGTGTGTATGCATGAGTGTGTGTGTGTATGCATGTGTGTATGTGTGTATGCATGCGATGCATGTTCATGTGTGTGTATGCATGTGTGTGTGTATGCATGTGTGGAGGCCAGAGGACAACCTGGAGGGTCCTGGTGTATATGGGGTGGGGTGGGGGCGGGTTGCGCCCAGTGACAGCACAAACGTGGACATCAGAAGACAGGCTGGTGTCAGTCCTTGCTTTTGTTTGAGATGGGGTCATGTTTGTTCCTTCACATGTCAAGGTGGCCGGCCTGAGAGTTCCGGGGCGTCTCCTGACTCCACTTCCCGTCCTGCCTTTGGAGCACTCAATTACAGATGACGTCTACCACAGAGATTTATGTGGGTTCTGGGGATTTGAACACAGGTCCTCATGATTGCTCAGCCTGGGAGCCATTCCCCAACAGCGGTCTGTCCGTCTTGTGTTTTTAAATCTTTTTCATTACATTTTTTATTTATCTGGTTCTTTTTTCCTCCCTCCCTCCCTCTCTTCCTCCTTCCCTCCCTTCTCTCCTACTTTCTTTTTGTTTGTTTTTCGAGACAGGGTTTCTCTGTGTAGCTCACTCTGTAGACCAGGCTGACCTCGAACTCACAGCGATCCTCCTGCCTCTGCCTCCCAGTGCTGGGATTAAAGGTGTGCGCTACCACACCTGCAGGAAGAAGGAATCTTAATTGAGGAAATGCCTCCATCTGATTGCCCAGAAACAAGTCTTTATGGCATTTTCTTCACTGATGATTAATGCAGGAGGGTCTGGCTCACTGTGGGCGGGGCCACCCCTGGGCAGGTGGTCGTGAGTTACCCAAGAAAGCAGGCTGAGCAAGCCATGGGGAGCGAGCTTGTAAGCAGCATGGCAGTGAGTCTCACCTTCCTAATGCCGTGATCCTTTAATACAGTTCCTCATGGTGTAGGAAGCCCCCAGGCATAAAAATCACTCCTTCATAACTGTAATTTTGCTACTGTTATGAATCATAATGTTAATATCTGATATACAGGATATCTGATATGCAATTCCCCTGAAAGAGTCATTTGACTCCAAGGGGGTCGTGACCCACATGACGAGAACCCTTGTTCCATGGCCTCTGCTTTGGTTCCTGCCTCCAGTTCCCGAAGTTCCCTTCATGAAGGGCTGTGATCAGGACACATAAGTTAAAATAAACCCTTTCCTCCATGCCTTGGTCATTGTTCTATTGCTGTGAAGAGACACTGGGACCATGGCAACTTGTAAGAGAAAGCATTTAATTGGCCGCTTGCTTACAGTGTCAGAGGGGTGAGTCCACGACCATGGTGATGGGGAGCACGGCAGCAGGGTAGGAAGGCATTGCTCTGGAGCAGTGGCCAAGAGCAGTTACTCCCAATGACACACTTCCTCCAGCAAGGCCACAGCTCCTAATCCTTCCTAAACAGTTCCACCAACTGGGGACCAACCATCCAAATATATGAGCTTGTGGGGATCATTCTCACTCAAACCACCACATTCTACTCCTGAACCCCACAAATTCATGGCTATGTAATAATGCAAATGCATTCAGTTCAACTTTAGAAGTCCCTGTTGGGGGCTGGAGAGATGGCTCAGGGGTGGAGAGCACTGGGTACTCTTCCAAAGGACCAGCACGCACCTGGCAGCTCTGTCTGTAGCTCCAGTTCCAGGGGGTCTGGCACCCTCACACAGACATACATGCAGGCAGAACACCAATGTATATAAACTTTAAAAAGTCCCTGTAGTCTTTCAGTCTCAACACTGTTCAAAGATCAAGTCTTCTGAGACTCAAGGCAATCTTAATTGTGACCCCCTGTAAAATTACATAATTCCAAACACAATGGAAAAGAACATACATTATCATCCCAGAAGGGAAAAAGGGGGAATAGCAATATATATATACATACATACATATATATATATATATATATAAAATATACACACACACACATATACATATATACACATATAAATACATATATATATATTTGGGACGAAAGCAAGACCAGAACCCAGCAGGATAAACTTCAAATTCTGTGTCTATATGCCTGATGTTGTCAAAGGGCTTACTAGACGGATGGCTCCTCATGTTTCCCATTCCTTGCAATTTTGCTGACTGCAACACATCTTTCTCTCTCAAGCATTTTATCTGATGCTCTACTTGGCCAACGTCCATGGCTTTGGCATCTCCAATATTGCGGGGTCTCCAAGGCAATCCAGGCTTCATCAGCGTCGCACACTGGCCTCTCCAGGCCTCCAGGAGGGACTCCCCTGCCCCACACCTGGTCTTAGCGGTATCCCTGAACCTTAGAGGAAGATTCCTGTATCCTCTCCACAAAGCAAGAACCCCGTGGCTGAAGCTGCCAAGTTCTCCTGTCTGTCGGGGCTGGAAATGCCCCCTCCTTCAGTTACATTGTAGACGTTTTCCCTTTCACAGGTTGCAGGATTAGCTGTGGGTCTCCCCCTGAGGATACACTCTCTTCATTCCATTTCATAGTTAGTCTTCCTTTAAACCTCTCATTGCACTGGGTGGTGCACGCCTTTAATCCTTGAGCCGGGCAGAGGTGGCGCACGCCTTTAATCCCGGCACTCGGGAGGCAGAGGCAGGTGGATCTCTGTGAGTTTGAGGCCAGCCTGGGCTACCAAGTGAGTTCCAGGAAAGGCGCAAAGCTACACAGAGAAACCCTGTCTTGAAAAACCAAAAAAAAAAAAAAAAAAAAAAAAAAAAAAAAAAAAATCACTCAAGAGGCAGAGACGGGTGGATCTCTGTGAGTTCCAGGCCAGCCTGGTCTACGGAGTGAGATCCAGGACAGTCACACAGAGAAACCCTGTCTTGAAAAGCAAAAAAAGAAAACAAACCAGTGCTGTCAATTGTCACCATCCTCCCCCTATCTCACACCTCTGCCCACCGACCTCCTGCCACCCTCCACCGTCCTCCCACTGTTCTTTACCCTCCTCCACCCTCCTCCACCATCCTCCACTATCCTTCATCATCCTCCACCATCCTCCATCATCCTCCACCATCCTCCATCATCCTCCCATCATCTTCCACCATCCTCCACCATCCTCCACCATCCTCCACCATCCTCCATCATCTTCCACCATCCTCCACTATCCTTCATCATCCTCCACCATCCTCCCACATCCTCCATCCTCCCACCCCCTCCATCATCCTTCACCGTCCTCCACTTATTCATCCCTTCTTATCTGCTTTTACCTGTCTTCTCATGTCCCCATCTTTCTTTTCTAGAGTATCTCCACAGACCTACAGAGACATGCTAGGACCTGTTCTCCAGTCATCCACCAGAGGGCACCTGTGAGTTCCCTGTGCAGCAGGCTCTGGGATCCACCAGCCCTCAGACCTTCCCCTGAGTGCCAGGGTGAAGATTCCTTCCTGCCCAGACCAGGCCTGTCATACCTGTCCCACTGTCTCTCTGCCTCCTTCCTTCCTGTCTGTCTGTCTGTCTGTCTCTCTCCTCCCCTCAGTTACTAAGTTACTCCAGAGTGTATAAAACAGTCTCCCTCCCAACTGTGCATTGCTCTAGGCAACTCCGCCATCATCCATTTTACAAGCAGCCTTTGACTTTGTCCCGAGGGAGAAGAATGACCACAGTCCCTGGGTGGACCCAGGAGCTGCACCATCTGGGCGGGCAATACAAGGTTGGCACATGATGTATTCCTGGTAGTAGAAAAGGAGCCACTCTATGTTTACTGAGGTCAATAGAGATTGTGGGGGACACACAGACATATTAAAATCACATCAGGTAAAACAGGACCAAGAATTTATCAGACACATCCAACAGAGGAAAGGTATAACTCCCTCACCTGGATCCTGTAACTGACGGACACTGTGGTGGCATGGCCCCACACCAATTCATTCATCATCTGATACCTGGCCTGTGTGTCAAGGAGCAACAAGCCGAGCACTCCCTACTATTCCTGGCGCATTGGCTCAGTTCAGGTCCCCTCACTGGCGCTGCCTGTTGGATTGCCCCCTAGCCACCTGTTTGTCCATCTGGACCAGGATTTGAACCTGCTGTTTCCTGCTCCAGACCCAGTGTGGCCTTTACCTTGTAACAGAACACGGCAAGCTTCACCCTCCAGCCCTGACCCCAGCAGCCTCCTTCGGCCTTGGTCTGGTTCATCATCATCCGGTGTGGACTCTTTCTCAGCTCCTCAAAACGCTTGAACTCTGTGCAGCTGATTTAGCTTTTGTTCATTTGTTTGTTTGTGTTTTGAGACAGGGTTTCTGTGTGCAGCCCTGGCAGTCCTGGAACTCACTCTGTAGACCAGGCTGGCCTCGAACCCAGAGATCCGCCTGCCTCTGCCTCCCAAGTGCTGGATTAAAGGCGTGTGCCACCACTGCCCTATGCGCGTATAGATGGGCTATAGAACAGATACGAGTTAGGCCAGGCGTGGTTGAGCACACCTTTAATCCCAGCACTCGGGAGGCAGAGGCAGGCGGATCTCTGGGTTCGAGGCCAGCCTGGGCTACAGAGTGAGTTCCAAGACAGCCGGAGCTACACAGAGAAACCATGTTTGGGGGGAAAAAAAAGAAAGAAAAAGAAAGAAGAAAAGAAATATAAGTGCATTCACCTCCATTTCCTCCATCTGTGACCATAGAAGAGCGATCCTAGCACCAGGGAGGCTGAGACCAAAGGATCAGGAGTTCAAGACCAACCTGGGCTACATTGTGAGTCCTTGTCTCAAACAAAACAACACAAAGCAAAACCCAAGTCACTACATTTAAAAAAATTCCCAGTAGCGTAGAAACAAACGGGAAGAAATAGATCTGTGTTTCGTTCGGCTAACCTTCCCAGAACTCTCTGGCTGGAACACAGCAGGAGCCTTCAGCAAAGGTGAGAACAGGATGATCCTGGACTGCTGTCCTCAGCCCTGCCTCAGGACCTTCTCACGGCTGGTCCCCTCATCCTGGCACGGTCTTCCTTCTCAGCACGGTTCCTACCAGAACAGTCTATCACATTTATCGTTTAGCCTCCTTCCCCACCCCAAGAACACACCCGCCCTTCACCAGTCTGTTTCTGGTCTGTCACACCACCCTAAAAGGAGTCTGGGATACATCAGGTGCTGGGTACATGCTTGCTGGTGAATGATCACCTGGCTGGGTAGGGGACGTGCTGTGCACAGTCCTGGGCTCTGTGGAAATGGGGCGCTGTACTCTTCATTCCTGCTGCTGCTGGTGTTCTGTTTGCAGTCCTGGCTCCCTGGGGCCTGCTCTGGCCCCGTGGCCCAGCTCAGCCGGCTCCCTGGGGACCTGTTCGGCTGACACTGGAGTCTTTCCTGGGCCATCCAGCCACCTGGCTGACACTTGATCTCAGCTCCACTTCCAGGCCAGCGTCCGGCCGACCAGCCTGGCTCGGGCCAGGCCCTGAGATCCTTGCGTAGGGACAAGGGGCTGTCTGTGTGGTGGTGGGAGGGTGTGGTGAGGCCAGGCCTCTGCCAACATACTGGCTGAGCTGCGAGGATTGGGGACAGTGCCTGGTTTGTGGCAGCAGCACCGCAGGGCGCAGGAGCCCACACCAGGCCCTGCTCACCATGGGGACCCTCAGCTGCGACCCAGCGGCCAGGTTGGCCACAGTGCCCCTGGCCCGACGGGTGGCCGAGGGCCACGTTCCGGAGACTGGGCTGAGGAAGTCCTGTGGTATGGTCACCCTGGAGAACGGTTCGTGCTGGCCTGGTTGGGGAGGGCCCCTCCTGTCCTCCTCCTGGGGCTCCTGGGATGTTCTAGAGTTCAGCAGAGGCAGTATGTGCAGGCAGGTCCACATGTCCTCTGTGGGGTCTCTGGCCCTGCACAGTTGCCCTGCATGGGGACAGGTTGAGCGCAGTAGGGCAGAACCAGAGGGAGGAAGTCAGAGGGAGGGTACCTGTGGGGACTGCAGAGCTATGGAGTGTGTGCAGGGGCTGCAGCTGGACGCTCAGCAGGGGAGACATTGGTGGAGGATTCAGGCTGTAGCCTGTGCCTCAGTTTCCCACCTAGGATGGAGTCACATCTACACCGGGTTCTGTCTCCCCACCTCTGAGGTGGCGTTTCTCTCTGTCCTGGGCTCGGTTTCCCTCCCTCAGTGGTTTCTATATCCCCGGCCTGCGTTTCCTTAGCTGTGGCAGTTTCTATACCCCGGCCTCAGTTTCCCCACCAGTGGTGGTCTTTGCTTCTAGCCTTAGTTCCCTGTGTTAGCCTGCCTTCCTTGCTGTCTGCTTCCCAACTCTCTACAGTCCTGTGACTCATGACTAGCTCACAATGGAGGTGTGGCTCAGTCATCCAGTACCCCTTTCTCTACTCTGCCATGGAGGTGGCTGGGGTCCAGGGTGGGACTCTTTGCCCAGCCTCTCAGGGTTCCGGGCGCCACCTCTGATCCAGTCTTTGGGTCTTAGGCTCCGGACCTGGCCTGTACATCCTTCCATCCACCGTTGGCTACGTCAATCACGATTGCACCAAGGTAGCCAGTCCCGCCTACTCACTCGCTCGGAGGCCCAGCGAAGGTAAGGCCAGCTGAGGGGTACAGGGTCCATCCTTGGGCCTCCAGAGTCCCACTGAAGGACACCAGGGTGAGCGACGCGGGGCAGGCGGGTCGGGTCTTCCTCCCCGCTGCTGTGCCCCGTTGGGTAAGTTGTTGCCTTCTCGTATCGCTCAGGCTGACTCTGAACTCCTGATCCTCCTGCCTCCATCTCCCAAACTCTGGGATCACAGATGTGTATCACCACATCTGGCCAGACACCAAGATTCTGATGGATCAACCAGGACTGGGTGGCTAGGGTCAGGGTATAGCCCAGTGGGTAGAGCACTAGCCTACCGTGTGTAAGACCTTAGGTGTGATTGGAAAAAAAAAAAAAAAGCCATAGTCCTGCTTGGTGTCCACAAAGCACTCAAACTGTGTGAGTGCATCTGTTGTCCCAAGTGCAGGGTGGTCTTTAGAGGCTGGCAGAGATGCAGGTGAGCAGGCACAGGAGCCTCCCTCCCTCTGGCAGTCTTCAGTGTGTGGCATCCGAGCCCCATGGCAAGCTTTGAGTTCTCAGTGACGTTGGCTGAACACAGCAGCCTTTAGTCCCAGTGCTGGTTCCTAAAGCTGCTGAGGCCCCAGTGGACCAGACAGAGGCCATCTGGGTCCGGAACTGCTGTAAATACTTAGAGGCCATGAGACAGAAGGCTGGAGGAGCCACTGAGCCCCTCCCCAAGCTGGAACAGGTGAGGGCCCTGGGTGGGCTGTGGGCTGTGCGGTCAGTGAGATATCTGGTGGTGGGATGGGCCTGGAGATGGTATTGGCAACCCGTGAGAGTTCTTGCACAGTGTGGCTCACAACCTCCTGTGACTCCACCTCCAGGGAACCTGAGGCTGTCTTCTGGCCTCTGTGGACCCTGCACCCAGAGTGCACAAATTCTCTCCTACAAGTACACATCATTTAAAGTGAAAAATGAAGTCTTAACTGGCTGTGGTAGTGCCCATCCTTAATCCCAGCACTCAGGAGGCAGAGGCAGGAGGATCTCTGTCAGTTCGAGGCCAGCCTGGGCTACAGAGCAAGTTCTGGGACAGCCAGGGGGTCTTACACAGAGAAAAGTTTGGTGAAGGGGGACCCCAGAGACGAGCCCACCAGGTGCAGCCTGCAGGTTGGGTGGGACACGTCCTGGTGGGTGAGCTGGGGTCTCTCATCACACAAACTGGGTAGGAAAATGGGAAGGAGGTTTGCCCATGCAGAGCAGGGGCTAAGCGCTGACAGTCCTGTTTCCCACAGGCTGAGGAGACAAGGGACAGGCATCTTCCTGTGTGTGACTCAGCACATATTGGTGGCTGTGACCCCATCTGCTCCTATCCTGGGAGTCATTTAGATTAGCTCTGAGCTAGGGGAGAGCTGGGAACAAATTCCTGTCACTCAAATAGGGGCATAGGGGTGTTTCTGAGGGCCATCATTTAATATTAGTGACTATCACAGAGGTGACAGGGAGGCTACTGTGTGTGCAAACACAGCCTATGTGGGTGTGCACAGAAGCCCACACCTGGGTGGTACCTATGCACATCCTGGGACTCACTGAGGCTTCGAGGAAAACTTGGTGAGGTGTATCACTCACTCGCAGGGCCCAGTATGGGTGCACCAACACTTACCATGCTGACTGGACTCCGATGCTCACCATGCACATGCTAGTGTGCCTGAAGTCCAACAATCAGTGATCAGGCCAGGCATGGCAGTACAGACCTGTCATTTTGACAACTCAAAAGCTGATGCAGGAGGATCATGGGTTTAAGTAAAAAGGAGTGAAGCCCCACTTAGAATCCCCGGTGAGGGGCTGGGGGCGTGGTCAGGGTGGAGCCCCGCCTAAAATCCCCCAGGGAGGGGCTGGGGGCGTGGTCAGGGTGGAGCCCCGCCTAGAATCCCCAGTGAGGGGCTGGGGGCGTGGTCAGGGTGGAGCCCCGCCCAGAATCCCCAGTGAGGGGCTGGGGGCGTGGTCAGGGTGGAGCCCCGCCTAGAATCCCCCAGTGAGGGGCTGGGGGCGTGGCCAGGAGTGGAGCCCCGCCTAGAATCCCCCAGTGAGGGGCTGGGGGCGTGGTCAGGGTGGAGCCCCGCCTAGAATCCCCAGTGAGGGGCTGGGGTATGGCTAATGGGGAGAGCTCAAGACTACCATTTATGAGGGCCTGGGTTCCATTCCCACATAGACAACTGTGAAAACGGTGACCAGCTGTGGCTTCAGTGATCTCTGCCTTCCATGTTGATGTGAAAATGTGGGTCAGGCAGGCTGAGCCATCTCAAGGGTGACTCAAGGTGACTCCCTGTGAGCCAAGGCCCTGCAGGGATTGGCATGCCCTGCACAATCCTTCTGCTTGATCCCTTTCAGGAGCATCAGTACTTCCCAGGCTGGAGCCAAGGTTGAGCTATACCTCAGGCTCTTGGGAGGCTCTGGGCCGGGTGTGGGGAGCCCTTAGCTCAGGGCACCTTTGGGATTCTGGGTCCTTTCCCCAGCACCTCTTCAGGATTCCAGCCCAGGACCTGTCTATTTCTTGGACCCCAAAGTTACTCGATTTGGCCGTAGCTGTCCCCCTGCCTACTCCATGCAGGGCCGGGGCAAGATTCGAGGTGAGTACGGTGTGTGTGGTCTTGGAGACTGTTCTCTTCCCGCATGATTGGAGCTCTGAGAACTTCAGTGTTTGCAAGGATAAAACCCGAGTTTCAGATGAAGGGTCACTACTCCACTCCCACAGCCTTGAGCTGAGGTGGCAGCACATGGTGACCCCGCTGCCTAGGGGCAGGGAGGCCTGGCTCTGATGCCTTTTGTTACCCCCACTTCATGGTCCCAGAGGAATGCTCAGACACTTGATTTTATTCTCTGCATGTGTTCTCAATCCATCCATTCATCTACCCAGCCATTCATTTACCCACCCATCCATCTATTCTGTTCATCCATCCACTCACCTATCCATCTACCATCCATCTACCCAGCCATTCATATACCCATCCATCCATCCATTCATCTACCCATCCACCCACCCATCCATCTACCCATCCACCCACCTGTCCATCCACCTACCCATCCATCCTTTTTTTTTTTTTTTTTTAAAGATTTATTTATTATGTATACAGCATATGTGACTGCAGGCCAGAAGAGGGCACCAGATCTCATTACAGATGGTTGTGAGCCACCATGTGGTTGCTGGGAATTGAACTCAGGACCTCTGGAAGAGCGAGCAGTGCTCTTAACCTCTGAGCCATCTCTCCAGCCCCCATCCATCCTCTTACCCACCCATCCATCCATCCATCCACCCACCCACCCACCCATCCACCCACCTACCCATCTACCATCCATCTACCCAGCCATTCATATACTCACCCATCCATCTATTCTATATCCATCCATCCATCCATCCATTCATCCATCCACTTGCCCACCCACCCATCCATCCATCCACCTACCCACCCACCCATCCACTTACCTACCCACCTATCCATCCACTTGCCCACCCATCCATCCACCCACCCACCCATCCACTCACCTATCCATCCATCCATCCATCCATCCGTCCGTCCGTCCGTCTGTCCATCCATTCGTCTGTCTGTCCGTCTGCCCGTACATCCACCCACCCACCCATCAACTCACCTATCAATCCATCCACCCACCCACCTATCCGTCCATCCATCTGTCCATCTGTCCGTCTGTCCGCCCGTCCATCCACCCACCCACCCATCAACTCACCTATCCATCCATCCATCCATCATCCACCCACTTACCCACCCATCCATCCATCCATCCATCCATCCATCCATCCATCCACCCACCATCTACCCATCCATCCATCCATCCGCCATCCACCTACATAGCCATTTATATACCCACCCATCCATTCTGTGTCCATCCACCCATCCATCCACTCATCCGTCCATGCCGCCACCTTCCTCCTCACTCACTCATCCATCTCCCTGTGCTCCATGACTCTGCTCAGCTTTCCCTCACTGCCCCACCCCAGCTCTTTAGTCACACTAATGCTGAGTCAAATATAGGACAGAAGCAGCTTAGACATTTTTAGTGAACTTCCTGGTGGACACAGGCCCACCTTAGTAGTCCATCTCAGGGTGCCCAGATCTTCAGAGAGGATAATCTGGGTGATCACGTGGCTGGAGGGGTAGAAGGTACCACTGGTGCGCGTGGGGTGGTTGGAGGAAGGGGTGGAAGTGGGAGCCTTTGTTGGCTCAGGGCCAGGAGTATCAGGCAAAGAATGCAAGTGTGAAGAATGCTCCTGGGGGAGACTCTGGGTCTGTATGACCTCTGGTGCAGGTCAGGTGAGGCCTCCATCTTGTGCCAATGCTCATTCATTCTCCAGGTCTGGAGGTGACGCCAGGCCCTGGGGCCTACAGCCCAGAGAAAGCGCCCCCGGTACGCCAGCGGAATCCCCCAGCTTTCACTCTGGGCTCCCGCCTCCGACAGAAGCCCCCGGACGCCTCTGTTCCTGCCCCCAATGCCTACACCATGCCACCCCTCTGGGGATCACAGATCTTTATCAAGCCTAGCAGCCCCAGCTACACAGTTGTGGGCCGCACGCCCCCAGCACGCCCCCCTCAGGATCCCTCAGAGATTCCAGGCCCTGGGCAGTACGAGAGTCCTGACCCCAACACCTACCGGCAGCGTAGGCCGGCCTTCAGCATACTGGGGAGACCCCGAACCCCGCGGCCCCTGGAGGAGACACCTGGTCCTGGTACCCACAACCCAGAACAGGTCACCGTGAACCGGGCCCGGGCTCCAGCATACACCATGGGCATCCGTCATTCAAAGCGGGCGTCTACCATGGCAGGGTACACCAAATACTGATGGCTGCCGGGTACAGGGAGCCGGGGCCCTTTCTGGGCCTAGCTTCTTCAGAATGGGGCAAAGAGGTGCCTCCCTCCCCTTCTGCAGTCCAAGGTCCTTGGAGGCCACTTGATCTCTCTGTCCCTGGGGCCCGTGACCCAAGGCCCCATCCAGGGTGAGGGTGAGCCTCCCTCTAGGGCCCCAGTTTCTTTTCCCAGGTCAAGCCAGGCCAGGGAGAGGTGTCCCTTCCCCTGGCTGGACAGGGAGCTGCGTGTCCTAGAATTCAACATCTAGGCCACTTGGGTTTCTGCAGATGAGGCAGGAGACTTCTCCTGGAGGTGGCCCTGATGCCTCTGCCCTCTCTACACCACCCTCTAGAGTTGCTTGCCAATAAATCGCCCACCAACAGCTGGCAGCACCGTGCACATTGGTTTATTTAGCATTTCCAGTCACGCCACAAAAGAACACTAAACACTGCCCTCCAGGCCCACAACTTTACAGACCTCTCCCAGTTCAGATGGGGCAAATGGAAGCCCTGGCACCAGGAGCCTGGATTTGGATTGTGGGACCAGCTAGGTTCTTGGGAAGGGGTACTGTAAACTGGGCTTTGAAGGATGTGTAGGAGTTTAAAGTATTACAGTATGATCTACTGTCATTTGTACCGCGGATTAAAGAGTAGAGCCAACGCTCCCTACAACCTCCCCATTCAGATGGGAGGACACACGGTGGATGGGCACCTAGACCCGGAATGCCGTGGTCCACACTCCATACAGCCAGATCCCACAGCCCCCTTCTCAGACCTCAGCCCAGCAACATCTCTCCCCACCCAAGAGCACCAAGGGCTCGCTGGTGCGCCTTTGTTGATGCCGCCGAGCATCCCCGCCCGCGCCCCCGCCCCCTTCGCAGGCCGTGATCTCGTTTCTCTCCTCATCGATCCCGCCGGCCTTGCCCCTCCTCCGCACCCCGCCCCGCCCAGCCCTCTTCTCTTTGTTTCCCGTCAGGACTGTCCTGGGTATGGCGCAGGGGAGGAGGAGGATGACACCCCCTTCCCCTCACAGAAGGAATCCCCTCGGGGTCCGAGGGAGGCATCTCGGAGGTCCCTTGAACCTGGGATGGAACTGGTGACTCCGAGAACCGATGGGTGTCCCTGGCTGACAGCCTGGGACCCAGGCCAGGCGCCAGCAGAGGCGGCCTGTGTTTACCCTCAGACCCTTCCACCGCAGCCCCACCTGCGGTGTCCTGGGCACCCGAGGTACTTCCAGGCCTCAGTTTCCCTTTAAACCTCGTCCTGCCTCCATCCGGGCTTCAGTTTTCCCACTAAACAGTAAAACAGGACAAGGTCCAGGTGGAGGGGGCAAGGGGAGGAACCTCTGAGTTCGAGGTTCTCTAGTCCTGGACCCCGGCCACTGCCCTGCCCCGGGCCTTATTTCGAAGTAAAGTTGGGCAGGATATGGCTGAAACAGTGTCGACGACGGGGGCCCTCTCAGCCCGCCTCTGCCACCCCAGACCCCAACTCCCCTGTTGGGCCTTCCCCCTGCCCTAGCCCTCAGTTTCCCCAGTGAGCTACTGCCCTGCCCCAGCTTCAGTTTCCCTACTCAGTAGAGAAAGCACGGTCCAGCTGGAACAGTGGCTTAGGGGGCACTTTAGGGCCCGGAGCCAGGCCTCAGTTTCCCAACTTAGAAGTAAAGAAGAGCAGGATGTTGTTGGAATGGTGATGGGGACCTCGGGGTTGGAGGACGACGCCCCGCACCTGCGACTCTAGGCCTCAGTTTCTCCATTTAGGAAAAGGGCAGGGTAGGGTGGTGCTGGAGCGGGGGCGAAGGGGGACTTCGAGGTTGGAGGATCCCGTCCCATCTCCCAACTGGGACCCCTAACCTCAGTTTCCCCATCGGTCAGAGCGTGACTGGACAGCCCCTCCGGGAGCCCCGGCAGGCCATGCAGGGTCGGATGCGGTGCCGCCAGCGGAGGGCCGGGGGTCCCAGGAGCGCAGCCCCCCGCGGCTGCGCGCTGCGCGAGGCGGTGACATCACCCGGCGGGGAGGAGCGCGCGGCTCGGCGCCAGGCTCAGCCGGGGCTCCTCGGCGGCCGCGGCCATGACGCAGGGTCCGGGTGGCCGCGCGGCCCCCGAGCCCGAGGCGCCCACCACCTTCTGCGCGCTGCTGCCGCGCATGCCGCAGTGGAAGTTCGCGGCGCCCGGCGGCTTCCTGGGTCGCGGTCCGGCGGCGGCGCGCGCGGCGGGGGGCGGCAGAGGCGCAACCCGAGCCCGGGGTCCCCGCGCTGGCCGCCGTGCTGGGCGCCTGCGAACCGCGCTGCGCCGCGCCCTGCCCGCTGCCCGCGCTTGGCCGCTGCCGGGGTTCAGGGGCGCGCGGCGCGCGGGGGACCCCCGACGTCGCCGACGAGTGGGCGCGCAAGGGCGGCTTCATCCACAAGCCGGCGCACGGCTGGCTGCACCCCGACGCTAGGGTCCTGGGGCCCGGGGTCTCCTACATCGTGCGGGTGAGTGCGCCCAGCCTCCTTACCCGCACGCCGGGGTGGGGGACTCCCTCCAGTTTGGTCTCCCGGATCCCCAGAGCCAAGTGAGCTCGCCCCACTACCCTGGAACCCCCGTTTCCAGTGCGCGCTTCTTGGCCGCCCCCACCCGCAGGCACTGGGGTCCGAGTTCCCACGGCGTCACGTGGGGAGGGGCGGGGAGAGGGCGCAGGTGGGGAGGGGGACACACGCATGCGCAGACTATTCTCTCCCCCCCCCCCCCGCCCCCGCTATTGGGCACGAGAGTCCCCCAGGTGAGGCCGGGGAGCAGAAGACCCCGTCACCCTCGGAGCCTCAGGGAAAGCGATTTAGTAGGGACACGCAAAGACCTTGGATGGAGCGTGGAACCTAAGCTCGCTCAGGGCTCCAGATTCGACACCAGAACTGCTGAAGTGAATGGGCCTGGCTATGTTTATCCCTTTTATTTTGGCAGGGGTGGGAGGGGGGTAGGGATTTGGGGAGAGGATTTTAATCCTCAACTGCCGGCCGCCAATCCTGCCTCATCCACTTCCCGGATATTGGGGTGTTAGATGTGTGCCATCACTCCCGGAACTTTATTCTTTGTTTTGTTTTTGAAAAAGAGTCTTTCGTAGCTCGGGCTGACCTGGAAGTCACTAGGTAGCCGAGGATGACCTTGAATTCCTGATCCTCCTGCCTCCACGTTGCAAATGTTGGGGTGACAGTCATCCACCACATCCCGTCTGTATGGTGCTGGGGATGGAACTCAAAGCCTTATTTATGCCAGACGAGATCTGTATCCAATGAGCGCCAGCTCCAATCCCCCTCTTCCCCCACCAGGTTTTTTGTTTTTTGTTTTCCAAGACACGGTTTCTCTATGTAACAGACCTGGCTGTCCTGGATCTTGCTCTGTAGACCAAGCTGGTCTCGAACTCACAGAGATCCTCCTGCCTCTGCCTCCCGAGTGCTAGGATTAAAGGTGTGCCGCCACCGCCCCGCCCCCTACCAGGTTTTTATTGTGACCTTTGCAAGGGATGTGGTGTGGGGGATGGTCTCCCACTTGCCCCCGGGACATTTTATCTTCACTCCAAGCATCTACCCCTGTGTGTGCAGTTTGATCGACCACTTGAAAGCAAGCTGGTCTGTGATGCTCGCCATGGGCACCCTAGTCTGGTGTCATGCCCACCACAATCTATGAGATGACAAGCGATCCTCGAATGCCGTTTGTTGGATGTCCTGGACCAGGATGCTGAGAGGGTGTTTGTGTCTTTCACTGTGCCCTGTTTTCCCCACCCGGATGTCACTTTCCGCACGGTGTCACGTCCCTCCTCCCTGGCTGGGTGAGTCCTCCTCCAGTGGGGATCTACAAATAGGACCTTTTTTGGAAGTGAGTTCAGCTGAGAGTGGTGGGGCGCACCTGTAATCCCAGCATTCAGGCCGAAGCAGGATTGCCAAGAGTTCTAGGCCAGCCTGGGCTACACATCCAAAGAAAAAGAAGGTGGGCATGATGATGAACGCCGTTAATCCCTGCACCGGGGAAGCTGAGGATGGAGAATCTGTGAGTTTGAGGCCAACCTGGTCTGCATCGTGGGTTCCAGATCTGTCTCACAACAACCAAACACAGAAAAGAAGGAAGTAGGTTTGTTATGGGTGTTGTGGATTCAGGTGAGCTTTCTCTGGAGCAGGGTGGGCCCTCCTGCAGTGACTGAGGCCCAAAGCCGAGACACAAGGGGCCAGGTATGATGGCCTACACCTGTCATCCCAGTACTTGGGAGGTGGAGGCAGGGGATCAGGAATTCAATGTTATCCTTTGCTAGAGGGCGAGTTTGAGATAGCCTGGGCTATTCGAGACCCTGTCATAAGAAGAGCTAGAGGCTAGAACCACAGGTAAAGGTCTCGAGCCAAGGGCCACTGGCGATTCCTGGGAGCCCCCAGATGCTGGGAGAGGACGGGGACCCTCTGGAGCCTCAGAGGGAGCGCCGTCTGCACAGACCAGCCTCCAGAATGGAGTGATAACGGTCCTGCTGTCTTCCTCGCCTGTGCTCCCTGGCTGCAGCAGCTCGGATGACGGATAGCCCTCCAGTGCTTCGGCCTTGACACTGAAGCCTCCAGGTGCCTGCCTGGCGCCGGCTGTGGCTCTGGGTCCGCGCAGCGCCCAGGCCGCGTTTGGATCTCCCTCTGGCTCCTCGGCCCGTGCAATTCGGGATCTGAGTGCCCTCTGTAGCTGGTGCCCACGTTCTGGCTTCCGTCCCCTTTCTCCCGTGTCTGGTTTGATGTTCAGCTGGGTTCTGGTGTCACACTGTGAGAGAGCATCCCATTCATTCAGCTGCCTCACACCCAGTTCCTCCAGGGCCCTGTCCTGTCTGGTGGGTATATGTGTTGAGAGTTCAGAAACTGTCGTTGTTGGGGCTCCAGATGTTGGGGTGTGAGCAGCGTGGGGTTTAGATCAGCCCCCGTGGAATAGTGACCTTGTAGAGGATGTGGGGAATCTCTGGTCCCTGTCTGCCAAGTCTTGGATTGCAGTAGGAGACACAGATAATAAAGACACCAGAAGACAGCCCGTGGGAAGGAGCAGGGATGGTAAAATCGGATGACGTCGGTGCGAGTTGTAACTTCTCCAGTCACAGTGGTTTGGAAGACGTCTCTGAAGTGCTGAGACCTGAAACTGTGGAAACCCCCGGCACAGGAGACTCTTCTGGCAGGACACAACCAGTGCAAAGGCCCTGTGGCAGGGGGCAGGTCTGGAATTTTCCAGTAGCAGTGGGAGACTTGGAGAAGGTGGAGCTTGGGGTTTCCAAAGGATCTTTTCAGGGACGTTGTCAGAACAGCATCATGGGGCACAGAGGGGGCTACAGGGATTCGAGGGGGACATGGGAGGTGTGGGGAGAGCTGACGTGGCTCAGACCTGGGTGACTGGGGGTTATGCAGAATGGTGTCCATGTGAGAAATGGACAGGGCAGAAAGGCGTGTGGGGTGAAGCAGCCAAGGCACTTACCTGGTCCCCAAGCTTGAGCCTTGACAATGTGAATACGGGGAGCCAGGCCGGCCTCCTGGTTGACAACGGGAAGGTCAGAGCAGGGGGCAGGGAGATGATCACAAGGATCCTTCTGAGCGGGACTCTGGCCCCTGAGGGAGGCGGTGCCACCCTTATTTACGGGTAGTTGCTGTCAAGCATCAGTCAGAGGCTCTGCCTGCAGGACCCGGCCCTTCCGTGCTCTCATGTGTCTCTGTGGCCAGTAGACTGATGACCCCCCTCATTGGGTCCCTGTGACCACAGCCTGTGGCAGAAGGGACCCTGCGGATGAGCTGAGGCCAAACCCCGGCTATCTAGATTTATCTGGGAACTGGTGTCACCACATGGGATGTTTTCTGAGCTGCAGAACTCAGGGAAGCAGAGGGCCACCTGAGACTTTCTCAGGAGTGGTCACTGTCAGCCCCGTTGGAGCGGCTCACACCAGGAGGGGCGTGTCAGAAGACAGAGGTCCTGGGTGGGCGGCTTGCATTGGCTAACCCAGCGACTCCGTCAAGCACCCAGGTTGTGGGCATTTGTACTGGGGTGAAGGTGCCCCTCCAAATTCATGCCAACTTGGTACCCCAGGATGTAGCCAGACATGGGCACAGTGTCTCTGCAGATGTAGTCAGTGGAGATGGGCTTGGGCCAGGAAGGCTAAGTCCCGAATCTGGTGACTGCTGTCCTTAGAAATACTGTGGGAAGACATGGGGAAGGAGGCTGTGACGGTTCAGGCAGAATGAGTGGTGTAGCCGCCAACCAAAAGACTCAGAGGAGCCGGGAGAGGCAGGAAGGGCCCTCTGTGGAGCCTCTGGAGGCAGCTCAGCCCCAGCAGACCTGCATCCTGGTCTTTGGCCTCTAGAATGTGGATGGAAGTATTCGTAAGCCCTGTCCTTGTGGGGATTGTCAGGTGGTCCCTGGAGACCTAGTCTTCGTCCTCAGGGTCTTGGCTGCCCTGGCTAGCTCTTCTCCTGGTGGCTGTGGTCCTGGACAAAGGGCTTTCTTTCCTGCAGGCTGCGTTCTTGGTGCTTTTCCTGACTGACCAGCCAGAACAGGGCCATGTGGCTTCGGAACCACACCAACTAGGGCCCTTGCACATTTATGTCCTGAGACATGCCAGCTGACGGTGACTGTGACATGTGGCTGCTCCATTCCCGGCAGCACAGCCCTCCTCCCTTAGTATGTGTGTACGTGTGGGTGTGTTTGTGTGTGTGTGCGTGTGTGCGTGTGCGTGTGTGCGTGTGCGCGTGTGCGTGTGCGTGTACGTGTGTGATGCATGTGCACATGTACTCTCACTGGCCCGTAGCTCACCAATTGGGCGAGGTTGGCCAGCAAGGACGTCCTAGGAATTCTGCGTCTCTTTGCATCTCTAACAGTGGGGTTATCAGTGTATACCACAATGCTCCACTTTTTATGTGGGTGCTGGGGATCTGAACTCAGGTCGTCATGTTTGTCCTGTGAGTCATCAGCTCCCTAGGCCCCCAGAAGGACAGAGTGAGACATGTTGTAGGGCCTGGGGCACTGCCACTGACAGAGACAAGGGCCAGGGATGAGGGATCTGGGAGCAACTGGGCCTTTCCAAAGCAGGGAGCCTGGCTGATGCTCTCTGATGTACCACGCAGTGAGACATGCCCGATAGGGAGTCCATATTGTCCATTTATCTGTTACTCTTCTCTGTCCATGAACTGACAAGCTCGCCATCAGCCATCCGCCCACCTGCCCGCCCACCCAACAAGCATCCATCCACCAACCTGCCACCCACCCACTCACCCACCCAACAATCATCCATTCATTTACCCATCCATCCACCCGTTCATCCATCCATCCACCCATCTTCCTACTCATCCCTCACTGACCATCCATCCCTTAGGCGAGGTGCTCAGCTCGCTTCTGCCTGTAGCTCCCCCATACCTCTTCCACTCAGAGTGAATGAATCCTGTAGCACCATCACAGCAGGGGTCTGTGGCCTTGGCTTTCCAGCCATATTCTGGCTCCCACTTCTGGCCTGGCAGTGCCGATCCATCTGCCCGGCTCCTCCTGTCCTGCTCCCACAGGGCCCAGAGATGTGAGCGCAGACTCCCCTTCCTGGCGGTTTTGTGCCGGGCGGGTCCTGAGTGCCCTCTCTGTACCCTTTTGCACGCGAGCAGCCTGGCTGGGACAAGGCACTTCATCCAGCTCCTGGCCTTGCATCTTGGACAGTCATGTCACCTTAGATGACTGCCAGGGATTCATCTGAGGTCCCCGTGCTTCTGAGACCCTGTCCCCTTGCTGATATTGTACTGGCAAAATCATCACGTGGCCTGTGAGGGGTGATGTATTGTCACTTTAGAGTGTCAGTGGCATCCTGGTCCTCTGCCTGGAGGCAGCCTGACTGCTGAGTCCATGTACTTGGGGATGCAAACTGTGGGTGAGCACGCACCCCCGTGTTCCTGCACGTCGAGTCACACGAATGTCCTCGTGATGACTCCCCCTTCCCTCTTGTCTCTGAGCAGCAGCCTTTGGAAATCGTATCATATAAATTCATAAAAATAACTTGTCTCGTTTTACTACTTCATACCCATTACTACTGTGGGCCGCTTTCTCCCACGGGCCGTGTGTGTTCAGCTTCTCCAGCGCAGAGGGCAGCCAGTTTAGTGTAAACTTGGAGAGAGCACGGGCAGAGCTTAGTGTCTGCGTGTCCGCATGAGGGGATCTACTTGGGCTGCAAAGCTATTTATTTGGCTACAGTGAATTCAGCCGTCACTCTGTGACTGTGGAACTCACTGGTCCTGTGTCGGCACCGTCAGCGCTGGAACCCCTCAGGAGAAACTGAGGCAGTCGCTGCAAGAGGAGGGCTGTGGTGGGTCCCGTGCTGGGAGGGGACAGGACGGTAGGTGCCTCGGCTGATTTCTCCTCACCCACGGGGAATCTGCCCACGTGGCACAGGGCTGGTGGGCTGAAAAGTCTAGAGTTGGAGTCACTGGGTGAAAGCATGTATGCGTTGATCTTTTTATTTTATTTTACCTGGGAGGTGGTCATGGTGGCACATGGCTGGAATCCCAGCACTTGGAAGGTGGCGGCTGGAGGGTCAGGAGTGTAAGGTCATACTTGGTTATATAGTGAGTTTGAGGCTAGCCTGGGCTATGTGAGTCCCTGTCCCCCAAACAACCTAAGTAAATAAATAATACAAAATTACAGAATAAGCTGGGTGCGGCCGTGTGTATACACGGTCCCAGCACTTGGGGAATGGGGAAGCTGCAGTATGTCTCAAAGCCTGGAGTTTGGGGCTAGCCTCGGCAACAAGCAGGACTCCAAAATAAATTAATTGATGAGACATAAGTCAGCGGCAGACTGATGGATGGAGGCTGTGCCACCAGCTGCCAAGATGGGGTTGGAAGGAAGTGGCAGTCGTTTCTGGTTACTTCCTCTTCTAGCTCGATTCCTTGCTCCCCGCTTCTGTTGAGACAGTCTCCCTATGCAGCTCAGGGTAGCCTCAGCCTCCTGAGTGCTGGGATGACAGTTGTGCACCCCCATGCCAGCTTCCCTTCCAGAGGGGAAGCTTCATGGTGGATGTACTGAAGGTTCCGCTTTGCTCCTCCTGTGTTCTGCTGACATCCACCGAGATGTTTGTCTAGATAGAGGCCCACAAAGTTTCTTTTTCTTTTGAGACAGGGTCTCTGTATGCCAAGTTGGCCTCGAACTCCCTATATAGCCGGGCAGTGGTGGCGCACGCCTTTAATCCCAGCACTCAGGAGGCAGAGGCGGGAGGATCTCTGTGAGTTCGAGGCCAGCCTGGGCTACAGAGTGAGATCCAGGACAGCCAGAGCTACACAGAGAAACCCTGCCTCGGAAAACAAAAAGCAACACAAAACAGACTCCCTATGTGGCCAAAGATGGCTTTCACCTCCTCATCCTCCTGCCTCCTCAGGTGTGTGCCACCACACCGCATTTATGGGGTGCTTGGGATGGAGCCCAGGGCCTAATACATGCTGGGCGAGGCCTCTACCAACCGAACTACAGCTATGAGGTTTCTGTGGAAGGCGGTTGGCTGATGTTTGCGTCTTTGCCAGCCAGATGGTCCCTGTCTGGATCTTGTCTGCCAGTCCTGTGGGTGGTGACTGGACTCAGTGAAGGCGCATGCCACCATCCGGCATCCCAGCCTAGACATTGAAATTGAGCCTTGGGGTGGGAGATGGGCAGGACTCGGTGTTAGGTGGGGGAGGGTAGACCCAGGACACCAGGAGTAAAGGTCCCGGGGCAGTGGCTGTAGAGGTCGGGGAGGGAGAAGAGCTCTGGATCGCTGGAGAGAAAGTGAAGTTCTTTGCAGAGAACCAGCTCCTGGGCTGGGCTCCGCCTGCTGACTGATCACACTCTCTCCCCCCAGTACATGGGCTGTATTGAGGTGCTCCGATCCATGCGGTCTCTGGATTTCAACACCCGAACGCAAGTGACGAGGTGAGGCCTTGGAGTGGGCTGGGAGCTCGGGTCGCAGTTGGCCCGTCCATCATGAGGCCTCTTGAGGGTGGCATAGTGGGGTGGAGGTGACCTGCCATAGTGGGGTGGAGGTGACCTGCCAGGCACCAAAGACAGGAGAAGACTGGGCTCAGCAGCGGCTGTCCTTCAGCTTCGCGTCTCAGCTCTGTTCCTGGTTGTTGTGCGTGGCTGTGATGAACATTCCCCAGACTCGGTTTCCCTGCAGCCTGCCCTGCAGTGGGGTGTGACTTCAGGAGGGTGATGGGAAAGGCTTTTTTTATTCCAGTTGCTGTGAACTTAAAAACTAAGACACAGCCGGGTGGTGGTGGCGCACACCTTTAATCCCAGCACTCAGGAGGCAGAGGCAGGAGGATCTCAGTGAGTTCGAGGCCAGCCTGGTCTACAGAGCGAGTTCCAGGACAGGCTCCAAAGCTACACAGCAAAGCCTTGTCTGGAAAAAAACAAAACAAGACAAAAACAAACAAACAAAGCAACTAAGACCCAAAGCCAGGTGTGGTGACTCACACCTGGAACTCCAGCACTTGGGAGACAGAGGCAGGAGGTTTGCCATGACCAGGCTAGCCTAGGCTACAGAATGAGATTGTCTCAAGAAACAAACAAAACAGTCGACAGGATTTATTGCCCCAACAACCCACCCCTGTACACTGCAATTCATTGCTTTAAAATATCTCTGCATAGTGTTTTATAGCCACCTGATCTATTTCCAGAACATTCCAACACCCAAAAGGAAGCCCTGTTCTCATGAGCAGTTATCTGCCCACAGCCCACCCAGCACCTACGAATCCACTTCCTGTCTCCGGGCATTTCTTCGCAGGGAGCCCCACACCGTGGCTTCGTGTCTTTGTCTTAGTCACTGGGTGCCGCTCTGATGAGACCCTGAGAAAAGCCATTCAAGGGAGACGGGGTTTATTTAGCTCACTTAGTGCGTCAGAGGGAAGTGCATCAGGCAGAAGCTCGAAGGATCTGCTCATCATAATAAATATGTAATCAAATAATAGATAATAAAGTTAAATTTGCTTGAGGATCACAGTCATAATAGGGAACAGAAGAGATGAATTAATATGTGCATGTTTACGCTCAGTTTGCTTTGTTCATTCGTACACAGTCTAGCATCCCCTACCTAGGGGATGGCGCCACCTTAGTGGACAGCTCTCCCCGCCTCAACACAATCGAGATAGCCCTCTGCACATGTCCCCTGAGGCTCACCCCTGGGTGATTAACCAACCACATGTCTCACTGATCACAAGTGTCCTCACGGTCCCTCCATGCTGTGGCGCATGTCAGACCTTCACTCCTCTTCAGGGCTGAGTAATACCCCAGTGGGTGGATGGACCGTGCTGTGTGTGCATTCGCCCATGCTGGACACTGGGTACCCAGGACTCTTCACTTCCCATCAGCCCCGTGTCCTATTTCTGCCCCTAGTCCTTGGCACCACCTGTTCTCATGAAGCCCAGGCTGGCCTTGATTTTACTGTCTTCCTGCCCTCGCCTCCTGAGCAAAGGGATCATCACTCCCGGCTTTCCTTGGCTTGTCTCTTGGCCCCCGGCCCTGCTGTTTCTAAGTTCGGTCTCCCCCTTCCGCAGGGAAGCCATCAGCCGGCTCCATGAGGCCGTGCCAGGTGTCCGGGGCTCCTGGAAGAAGAAGGTGGGTGTCGTCTGTGTGGTCCTGCAGAGCTAGTGTGTGTCTTGGGAGGCTGCAGGGAACGATGTGGCCACCCAGAGCTGCTCTGGCCCCGGGCATCTGACTCAGGTGGCACACTCTACCCTCCCAGGCCCCCAACAAGGCGCTGGCCTCCATCCTGGGGAAGAGCAACCTGCGCTTCGCTGGCATGAGCATCTCGGTCAACATCTCTGTGGATGGCCTCAACCTCTCTGTTCCTGCCACCCGCCAGGTGGGAGCCACTGCCCTCACCCACAACCCCACCTTTGCCCTGCCTACAACCCTGCCATCTTACCCCACCCACATCCTGATCTTGGCTCCATCCCCACTCTACCCACAACCCAGCATCTTTCTTCTCAGCCCTGTACTTCCAGACAGGGTCTCTCTGTGCAGCCCTGACTCTCCTGGAACTCACTCTGTAGCCCAGGCTGGCCTTGAACCCAGAGATCCGTCTGCCTCTGCCTCCTGAGTGCTGGGGTTAAAGTGTGCGCCACCACCGCCTGGCTTCAGTCTCTCCACAACTAGCTCCATCCATATCCCCACCCTCGGCACTGCTGCCCCGTCAGTGCCACCATAGACCCCGCCATGCCCACTTTCAACCCAGTCCACAGTGCTATCTGGCCCCACCCTCAACTCCACCCACTGGTGAACCAACCCCTGGGCCTTACCCTTGGCTCTATCCATCTACAAACCCTTCATCTTGCTCTTGGCTCCACCCAACCTCAAAGCTCTCGGCCACACCCACCTGGCAGGCCTCTCCTATAATCTGCAGGATCCTTAAGATGCCCAGAAATATATGATGCCCGCTGAGGTGGAGCCAGGACGTGGGGGTCACTGTGGGCACGAAGTCCCCAGTAGCCAGGATCCGAATGGTCTGCTTGCTGCCTTTATGCAGGGCAAGGCCACCACGAGGGCAGATATGTCCGCAGTTGTCCGGGAGGGGACCTGGGCTCGAGTGGGTGGCGGCCAGGGACCATTGTCAGCACTCCGCACTCTGAGGACTTGGAAGTGGGCTCCCCCTGGACGTAGGGAGGAGAGGCATCTCCTGTGGGAAAGGACAGCATGAACCTGGGGAGGAGTCTGGAGTCCGTCCTGAGAGTAGTGACCATGGCATTCCGATCTCTGGGAACTGGGGGCAATGCAGGGCTGCCTGAGCAGTTGTCCTGGCGACGGGCCATGCCCGGGTCTTGTGGGGGGGACTGAAATGAGGATAGACTGAGGCAGGGTGGGCAGGCCCTGCTGAGGAGCTCACCGTGGGGAACAGGCTGCAGGAAGACCTTGATTCCAACAATAACCCTCATCCCGACTCTAACCACCTGAACCCCAAGCCCAACTCTTAATTCTGATTACCCTAACTCTAGCTCCAACCTCCATCCCAACCCCACTGTTTTGTTTTGAGGCAAAGACTCACCACGTAGCCTTGCCTGGCCCGAAACTCGTAGAGATCATCCACTTGCCTCTGTTGGGATTAAAGGCATGGGTCACCGTGCTTGACTTCAGCTGCACTTCTAACGCTAGCCCCAATTGCGACCTACCCCAACCCCTAACCTTAACTCTAACCCTAACCAGGTCATCAGGTATGTGGCAGACCTGGCTCTCTTAGTGCACAAATTCTCACTTCGCCCTGGTAGATCTGAGATCCAAGGAAGTCTGAGCTGGAATTTTATCGCTAGCAAGGCACAGGCTGAGTTTATCAACAGTGGTCGCAGCCATAGTTCCACAGTGAGCATTCCTTCCATCCATGCGTCTCTGACCCTCCTGGCTGCTGCTGGTGTAGGCGCATGCCGAGGTGCAGGACGGCACGCAGAGCTACACGTGGCATCTCACATCGGATACGGACAAGCTGGCCTCACATCAGATGCAGCTGGTGCCAAAGGAACATACTTGTGGGCGGGGACTCGGTTGGTAGAGTGCAGGGTGTGATGTCCTGCGTGGGGGGTGTCTTCCGAGCAGCCCAGTTGGTGAGTGAGTGGGGTCTAGAAGGTGGAGGTACTCTGCCCCACACAGACTGGGAGCCTGCAGCATGGAAGGGCCCCCGAAGGAGCTGCTGCTGCTGTTAACGGAGAAGGAAGAGCACTCTGGACACAGGCCTAGGGATAGGGCAAAGCAAGGCAGCGGGCAGGGGACCAGGGCCTGGAGCAGAGCCTGGAGCAGTCTGATGCCCAGGCCCCGCCGCTGTGGGAGGACACTGCTTGTTCCGTCTCCTCCTGAGCCTGTGGTCCCGCTGAGGGGTCGTAGAGGCTCCTGGGAAGACGTGGCCACTGAAGCCTCAGTTTCAGCTTGTGAGCCTCGTGAGTTTTGTTATGTTGAGTCTTAGGGGCCTCCCTCCTCCCCACTCCCCCCTCCTGCCCACTCCTCCCTCCTCCCCACTCCTCCCTCCTCCCCACTCCTCCCTCCTCCCTCCCCACTCCTCCCTCCTGCCCACTCCTCCCTCCTCCCCACTCCTCCCTCCTCCCTCCCCACTCCCCCCTCCTGCCCACTCCTCCCTCCTCCCCACTCCTCCCTTTCTCCTCCCCACTCCTCCCTCCTCCCCACTCCTCCCTTTCTCCTCCCCACTCCTCCCTCCTCCCCACTCCCCCCTCCTGCCCACTCCTCCCTCCTCCCCACTCCCCCCTCCTGCCCACTCCCTCCTCCCCACTCCTCCCTCCTGCCCACTCCTCCCCACTCCCCCCTCCTGCCCACTCCCTCCTCCCCACTCCTCCCTCCTGCCCACTCCTCCCCACTCCCCCTCCTGCCCACTCCTCCCCACTCCTCCCTCCTGCCCACTCCTCCCC